CCCCCCCCCCCCCCCCCCCCCCCCCCCAGGGCGTGTAAGAGTCACCATCCTCCCTCACCGTTTCTACACTCGCCTGCACACTCGCGTTCGCAAAAAAATACGACTGCTTTGCAGTCTACAAACGACAGAAAACTCTGTTCGTAAAAAAGGACCATACAAAAATTACAAGAGAAACAGAAAAGGAAAGCAAGAGAAATGTATTCACATTAGCGATTTCAGTCATTATACGTATACATGAACTAGTAAATTTTATTTTGGCAGCGAATTTATATATGCCGAGTCAGGGATATTGTGCAGTACATAAAGTCTGGATAAAGACAACTCCACGATTACGCAAGTCACTCTAAACATTCATCATCTATACTTCTTCAGCGCTAGGCTCCTGCCTGACCCAATTATTACAGTGAGGGTAGATAAGGCCATTAAAGCTATTTTTACGTTATCAAAGTCATGCATAAATTCGTCAACTAATACTGGCTGGATAGCGAGACGGGACATTCTGGCCTGGTAGAACGAGGAGGAGAAGTTGGGGCTACCAAATAAAGTTTTACGCGGGATCTTCCGCCCCTTGGTCTAAACCTTTGCCATTTTTGACAGCAAGGGTAACCCCTTTCTTATAACTACAGTTACTGTTACATAGTACAGTAGATTAGATCTACCGCAACTCTTTTCTCTAACCTAAATAGTTACCTCTTTCGAGCAGCGCTTCCACGTTATAGGCAGCAGCTCATCAGAGGTAACCAAAGTTGTGACATTGAGTTTAGCTGTTAATGAAGTATATATTTAATAGATTTTAATATTTAATAAAGGTGGTCTGTCTTGTATGTTGCCTTTTTAAGCGTGCATTTGATTTGTAGTTTTTACTTTTTATTTGAAGCCTAATTGTATTATACAGCGTATTTAATTCTTAGGATTTTAACTTTTAGGATTTAGGATTTTAGGTTTTTAAAGAATTAGGATTTCAATTTTAAAGTATTGTAAAGCGCCATGGACAATTAATGGAAAATGGCGGTATATAAATGTATATTTATTTATTTATTTATTTATTTATTTATTTATTTATTTATTTATTTATTTATTTATTTACGAGAGCATATGTACGGTTTTTTCACCCGGCGCGCGGAGACAAGAGACAGCCAGAAATACGTCTGTGTTCGCAGGCTACACTGGGTTTTAACCTTTTTACGAACCATCCTTACAGGTATGGGCGGTATTATAATTTTATTATCATTGTTATCAACGTTTTATATTTTACTTTGCTCGCCATCTCCGGGAGCCATCTATTATTTTCAGACATCTAATCCCTTAAATTGTAGTGAAAAAATAAATAAACTAAAATTAATAAATGATTAAATAAGCCTATTATAGTTGTCCATGTTGTGACTGACTAGCCCACTCTACCCTTGAAAGGTTGGCTTTTAGTACAACTTCCTGTTGCTCTGCTGAAATTTTTGCCCCTTTAACCTAGGACACGCAGGGATCGTAAGTTTCAAAATGTTGCGAGTTTCTTGAAAGAAGTGTGCGTGTGATAGACTTAGATGCGTGACGGCCGTCGATTGGTACCAACGAAAGCAAAGCAGTAGGTTCGAAAACATCCATTACCCTCAGCAGGAGCAGCACTCAAAATAATTTTGTCACGGCGGATTGAACAAATTCGGGCACTAACAGATTCAGACCGTTCACTAACTTACTGTAATTTATGGAAACAGCAGAAGGTACCAAGGAAGCCAAGTACATGGAGGGATATTTGGAGTTAAAAGAAGCGTCGAAGGTAATCACAAATTGATATTTTCAATGCTTAGTGTTGTGATGTGTCTGATATCAGTGACTAACATGCATGTTTGCCTACCCGAGGTGTAAGATAAACAGCAGACTATAATTAAATACGCGAAAAGCTCAGGTAGAACTTCATACTCCAAAGCGTTTGTAATGATCGATGATCTGCTTGTAATGTGTATATCAACGTGATGGCTGTAATGGTATGGGCCTCGGTAGCGGAATGACATGTTATTTTATTGATCATTATCGGTTGTTGGAGAGGAAACAGCCGCCCGCTCGGACAACAGTTCGGTGCGATACGAGTGGACGGTGAATATTGATGGCAGTAAATATTGTGCCGAGTAGAGTCTTAAGTGAATCTGTGGCGAGAGCTAATGAGTCGAAAACGAACTGCATTTTATTCCGAGGAAGAAGAAGGCATTTTGATTGTTTGAAGTCACGGTTTTTACATAGCTTGGGTCAATTAAGGCAAGTATCTTTCTCAAATTACGTATTCCGACGTTTCACCACAGTCTGCAAAAAATGCAAACAATGTGCTTTTTTCTGATCGCCACAGGGTCCCTTTTTCCTCGTGAAAGAAAATGCATCGTAAAGACAGAAAATTCTTAGAAAGGAAGTTTAGAAGTCGATCGATGATGCGTTTCAGCAGGTTTAGACAAAAGCTTGAGCTACACATCCAAAAAAAATCCAAACACAATCAACACACGAGAAGTGTGGTCTATAAATTTGTAGTATGGCTAAGTTTGGCCAGCCTGTATCTCCTACAATTGGATTCGAGTGGAATTTCACCGCATGTACTGAGAAGTAATTTTGAGCAGTAGTAAGTATTTTGTATAAATGTAGCTCATTACTATAGCCAAAAATAAGTTATTCAGGCCATTTGCCATAGCTGAAAAGACAACCTGAAGAGATGTCAGGGGTCAATATCGGACAAATCGTAACATCACCCCTCCCCTGCAGTATCCACCCTTTTGTCAGAGTGGAGACTGGACTTTTGGCAGGCTTCCGCTCTGTTTCAGTCGTGTCAGTGTCGTTGGTGTGAACACAGTTAGTAGAGGGAACATAACTAGTAGAGGGAACATTACGTGAAAGGCGGTTGAAGTAACTGGATAAACATTGTCGTAAACAGTGGACAGTTGCTGATCAGATACAGGAGATACAAGAAAGGTTAGTTACATGCAACTAATATACAAGAAACTGCTCTCGGCAAGCCTGTGTTCGTCGGACTTCGCGTTCTGTGATTCCGTCATCAAGATTTTGGGTTCATATCAGGCGCTAAGCTTATAATGAATTTCAATTATGTTCACAGTAATTTATTGACGGATAATTTTTATACAGAATCTGTCGAAATTCTTTCAGCGTTTTCGTGTCGAAGAGATCAAAACATATGTGATTTGGGCTGTGTGCACGCGCGCGAAACGATGATCAAGAGGTTTTCAAAACCGGCGAATGCCTTCACCTCAATTGACACCTTGTGGATGAATTGGCTTACTGCATTTCCAACCTCCAGGTAATCTATTCATTGATCTGTTGATCTGCACGACAAAAGTGAGAAAGCCGTGAAAATTTGCTTTTTCGCTTGACTAATCGTCAAATAGACTTTGTTGGCGGAACTATAACAACAAGCTGATAATTTATAGACGACTTGCTGACCACTTGTTGAATAGTGTATCTTCTCTTCCGAAGTATCTGCAGATATAATTGCCGGATTGGATTACAAAGCTAAAGGTCGGAAGATCGAGATGCGATCCTTTCGGCCAATGCAGAATAGCGGTTCTTGAAAAGGTTGATAGGTTTTTGACTTGTAAATTCCATACATGTAATATGTTTTCTACCCTAGCTTGACAATAGTGATTGAGACTGGTTTATATTCACCTCACGTCGAAAATTAAAAAGCGTGCAAGGCTTTGAGATTTTGTGATGTGAAGGGAAAAATAACATTAGATTGATGTGCTCACTTCCAACCAAATGTTTTCCTTGGGCTATGAATGGGAATTGTATGGTTGACATGACAGACACAGGAAATAGAAGCTTGCACGAGCTCAGTGCGGAGAGTACATGCAGATTAAGTTAGCTTGAAGAAGTGACTAAGATGCACTGAACGTGAACAAATTAAAATTTAAATCATTTTAGTCATTTATATGATCATATAATTTAGATCCATATTTCAGTTTGTGTAGCACACCAGAGTGATGCAGCAAATTGATGAAAACTCATGAAAATGCAGTAGTGCACACTGAATTATTTAAATCTGATACTTCTTTTTGATTTGCCAACCAAATTAAGGTTAACTGACATAGATATGCATTTCGGTCTTGAAACTGGGGACTTGTACTGAGGGTAAAGATTTACAGGGAGTTGAAAGGAAAAAAAGTGGTAACACAACTTTGTGACCAAAATTGATATTCTCACCAAGTACAGGTATACTTATGCTCTTGCACAACTTTGGACTAATGGATACAGCCAGCTATCAGATTTGTCAGATGTTCAAGTGGAGAGTTGTCTTTCAGTAAGATACCTCCCAAACAAAATTTGATAGTCATTCAGTATCTAGAGTTGATAAAATCAGCATGAGAAAATATTGAAATTAATTAGTGTCAAATATTGTCTTAGAATGATCCAGTACAGGTATCAGTTTCACCAACTGTTTCACAAATTACTGTTGTAACTACAAACTGTCATTTCTTCTTGTAGTGAAGGACATTTGTATGTAGAGATTACTTCTATATCAATTTGCTCGAAGCTGAAAGTATCTATGTATATTTTTCTGATATTTGCTAAGTTGATTCTGTTTGTATCTGTAAAAAATGTGTTCACTGTACATTGGATTGAATTTAACAGGCTAATGGTGTTATTTTAGTGTCATGTTACATGTACTTTCATAAGTAGATTATCAATAGGCTTTGTTTGTGAGTAGCTTATGGAATGAAATTTTTGCTTGGGGTTACCCTGCGAACAAAGCCTCCTGGCTCACAAGGTAGCTTAGGGTTTACAATGTACTTAGAAAGATAGAAACTTATTCAGTAATAATATCTAGTTGGATCATCTATAAGAACTTGATTTTATAACTGTTATTCATGTAATTTATTATAAAGCTGTGTATTGTTTCACCATAGGGTAAATAGGGAGTTTTAGTCAGCAACCATATAATCAGGGCTCGAAAAAGTTGCCGTTGGGTTATCCGGGGCAAGTAGACTTTCCTGCCTGACAAGTTATTTTTCATTCTCACTTGCCTAATTGGCAAGGACCCAGGCAACTCGTTGACCAATTAAATAGAAGAAGGAAACTAAGACTTGCCCAGGGCAAGCAAAATTTGAGAGGGTGAAAAGAATTTGAGTCTGAAGGACAAGCTGGAATTCAAGTTTTTTTTTTTTTTCGAGCCCTAATAATTAACAGACAGGTAGCAATTAAATTTCCATTGGGATTTGCCTTGTGTGAAGAGTTTAATCCATACGTATAACTAAAAAAAGTGTGTTCATCTTGTAGTGGGTGAATTACTGGGTTGTAATTCGTGGATTCCAGCTATTTTTCTACAAGGATTCAAACACTGACATTAAGGAAAATGTAAGTACAAAATTATATTAAGTTTCTATGTATTGAACAATTGCAGATTTACTTGTATTTAATTTTATAGCAACATTGCACTGTTGCAGTAAATTGGGGGTGTTTTATATGAGACCTAACCTAAAACCTGCATTTCCAGGGGGAATTCCTAGTTTACAAAGACAGTCAAGTTAATAGACCACTTTCATAAATGGCGGCCAATTATAAATTCTTTTGCAAGTATTAAATTTACCCTTACTAACCTCATTTTGAAGTTGGTAATTCGAAAGAATTTTTACTCTGAAACTAGGTTAGCAAGGTTAATTTAAATGCATACAATAGAATATTAAACCGGCAGCCATTTATGAAAAGGGTCTATTAAGGCTTTCATCCTCAAACAATGTCAACAATAATAATTCATTTTGAAATGAACAATTCCAAACTTTAAGCTTCATTTTTTTTTTCTATTTCTGGGGACCAACTTTTAAGTAATAAAGATTACAGACTGGGAGAGACTACCTGGTTGCAATTGTTTCATTCACTAGTTCAAAGTTTGCAATTTAACTGAAAAATAATTTAAATTATTATCACTTTTATTTGTACACTGTATGTTTCGCTGAATACTTGCAGGCACAAGTACTGATTTCTAAATTAAATCATTATTTTAAGATCTTGTTAGTGTGGGCAGGATTATACTGACCTTTGATTGAAATATGGTATTGTTTTCAGATTCAATTTCATCTGGACTTAGGTGCAAAATCTAACTTTGTCACTGGTAAAAGCGGCAAAAACAAATTTGAATTTGAAGTCAAAGTAGAACGTAGCAAGAAATATTTATTTAGGGTAGGTATATACAATTTTGTACATTGTCATGAATAAGATTGTTGTACAGTTTTACGTTTCATTTGCATTGAAGCACTACCTTTTTGAAAATATCTCAGCTTAAACCTAGGGTAAATTTCAGATTAAAATGAGAAAAGTCTAAAGTTATATTGTAACATCCACCAGGCAAGTTGCTATGTTATTAAACTCACCTAAAGGACTTTATACATGTTGTTGTCTGGCATGACCTGACAACTGCTGGATCCCAGTGAAATAAGAGTAAAAACATTGATAAACTATCAACTGTTTGTGAAATATTTCATGATCCTTTGTTTTCTTGTCTTACAGGCAAATACAGAGGCTGACCGTCTTCAGTGGGTATATACATTAGGGCTTGCTGCCCAGGTAATCTAGTCAATATTTGAATTACTAACTCCAAGGCAGTCAATTTAGTGGACCAATCATAGCTCAAAGCAAATACCTCTACATGTAGCCAAGATAAAGCTTAGGAAAACATATTTGAGCATGTCATGATTGGTTTTGGTTTTACTTTTGATGGGATGCAGGGTTTCATTACAGCAGGAGGGCAACTGGTTTTCACAGGCAGGCAAAACTATTTAAACTGAACTTTTTTATTAGAAAAACTTTCTGCTGGATGGTCAAATCAGCCAGGCAAAATCATCCTCGCAGCTGGTCAATTTACCCGGTGCCTGGCCCTCAAACAAACCCCTGGGGGTGACAAAGTGGTGCAAGTTTTGTAAAACGAGAATGTTGAATGTGAATAATTTACAGTTGTTGACTTAGAGTGTCGACTCAGTCAATGACTTCTCTAGGTGAATTTGGTTTCTGAAATTATAAGAATGAAAATTGGTGATAATATTAAATCAATTGGCATTATTTTATGAGTGCTTTGAATTTGGAAATGCTAAAATTCCATAGTATATGTACAGTAACATCAAGCACAGAATGTTATATGGCAATCATTTGGAAACTGTTGGATAATGGAGATGTCAAAGCAGCCAACAAACAACTTTTCACTCAACTCTGTAGATGCATGACGTCTACTCAGGTTGTTTGCACTGTTAGCCACCAACAACAGTTCTTCAGTGGAACTGTGCTCATCTGGATGACCAAACTCTTGGAATTCAAAACCATTTACTTAAAATGCATGATTACTGCGTGTATGTCTGGAAAATTTGTGTATCAAAAGTGTTGTAAACTTTTGTGTGGTTTTCAGGGAAAGCTTCCACCAACATCATTTGCTTGTGATCCAGATCCTGGTGACTCATCAAACAACAATAAAAAAACTCTCACTAGAAAAACCTCAAACCAATACTCAGAAGGTAAATTCTGTTACCCTTTTTATGATTATTGTTTATGATTATTTATGATTATTATTTAGCATCCAGGGTGCTTATATTATTTTAGGAGCTGAATGCAGGGTGCTTTTTGGAGAGAGGTTGTTTATTAGGGATAGACTGTTCACAGCCCTCTATTTTCTCATATTTTTATTCGATCGTTGAACACCCTGATAGAATCGCGAGAGAACTGGACACCAGTGCAAAACGGAAGACTTGACTGGGTAGGTGGTGGGGACCGAGAAAAATAGAGGGGCTGTAGACATCTTTGGAAGAAAGTGAATTCCCATCGGTTGAAAGGCGAATAAAGTGTCATCACCTTGACACCAGCTGATCATGATTGTGTCCAGCTGCGCGTTTTGCGGCTTGCAGCAGTTGTCATCACTAACACGTGCTGTGATTCATAATGGAGCAGTTGATTTTAAAATACTGTGGAATCCTGTTAAGAGAAATTTCAATGTCTCTTTGCTCAAAGATGAACAGATAGAGGCTGCTGTTCATCTCCTTTGGTCTAAAGAAGTTGTTGCAATTTTGCCTACTGGCTTTGAGGAAGGTCTGATATATCAACCCTATGCAATGGCAAAAGAAATGCAAATGTGCGAGTGTTGAACTGACAAATGTAAGAGATGAAAGAGCTTAATAGGATTCCCTCCATCGTTGTTTCAACAAAGGAGGACTTGCTTCTGCTGATTGGAGAAGTGAAGTACAAGCTTGTTTTCCGAAGACAGGGGAGGACTTTTTGGATGCAAAATTTGAAACATGTTACAGAATGAAGATTCTCTGCTAAACAATTGTGTTACGCTCATTGTAGTTGACAAATGCCACATCTTGTAACACCTTTGGAATAAACTCGCCACAGATATGTAAGACGTCTTGCCAAAATTCCCCAAGTGAATGGCAAAAGAATGCATATCCTACAAAAATTGGAAGGAACGCTTGATTTCAGCTTTTTCTCCTTTTAGCAGCTTTTCTTGGAGTTGAAGAAGTCATCTGAGATGACGTTCTCAACACGGGAACACACGTATGTGTTGTTGTTAGCAAACTGATACTTGCAATCAATTAAACAAGCAATTTACCGCTCAAATTTTACTGGTCTGATTTAGCTTATTTGTCAATGGGTGGAGCTGTAACAAGGCGATAACAGGGGGAGAAGCCTAATAAGTCACTTTTTTCCAAAGCTGTCTACAGCCTCTCTATCCTTCTTGCTCGCTTTGCTCGCAAACCCCACGCCCCCTCTGTGTGTACTTCGCGCTTGCTTTGCTTTCTTTTTCTTTCACATGCATGAATATAGAGAGGCTGTGAACAATCTAATTAGGGAAGGGACACTTACTCGTTTTCTGAGTTAAAACTCAACTGTCAAAATAAAAAGCCTCTTTGGTTTCAGGGAAGTTTGCTCTCACTTGGAAATAACAGTCAAGATAATTGTTTTGTCACACAAAACAATTGGTGCAATCAGACACAACTTTCTTTGCATGCTGAACTCTTAGACACTGAACTTAACTGAGTCTAATGAAACTTTGATATTGTTTCTTATTAATAAGTACATTTTCAGGGCTGTCATTACAGGTACATGTAAGTTTGAGTAACCTGTAGCCTTGTTCTCCACATCCGTACCAAACTTGCTATGTTGTGGGCAAATTCTATCAATGACAGGCAATTTCACTTTAGCATCACTTGAGGGAATATTACATGTAAGTGTACTCAGCTGTAACAGGTGTTACGGGTGAGGCCCTTGATGACAGCCCTGCGATTTTGTATGGCGACTTTTGCCAGTCACTGCATGGCGCTTATGGAGAGACCCTGATACATGTACATGTGTACTTATAGTATAAGCTTAATGTAGCATTGCAGGTTTGTGTGGCTCCCTCAGAGTGGAGCTTAAAATATAAATTTGGAATCCTTGTGTTAATAGAGTGTTATTGTTATTTTGTGTAGTACCCAACTTTCATATTAGTCCGGATGTTGCTGGGGTGACTGACGAGGAGATGCAGAAGAAAATTGTGAACATTAAAAAGCATAATTCATTCAGCAGCTACTGTAAAAATTTGGTGGGACTTAAAGACAAGCGCAATAATAAGAGCGTTGACACTGAGGTGAGGAACATTGCAAGGATGTGTTTCTCTATGCATAGTCACCATTACAAATAAAACAAGCTGTGTATCAAGTTTTTATAGATTTTACAAGGAAGAGACTGCTACAGTTTTTGGAATATGAAAATGTATGGCAGACTTATTGAAATATTACAGCATGAATTAATATGTGGGCAAAGGATATGTAAACAATATTTTCTCAAGTTAATAAGTTACAGTGTACATGTAGTTTCCTGCACCTGCCACTGACATGGAAAACTGTGAAATTAAAAACTCAACCAATTGCATTCACTGTGCCATTGCAACTATCTTAAATGGCATTCTTAGGAACTTTTTTTTTATAAAGTCTATGTCTACGGGTTTACATTTAGGACAGTCAACCCATGAGCACTTGAACTTTGACATTTTTGTGGTGACGTTAGAATGCAGGCTCTAATTCATATAATGTACAAGAATAGCATTTTTACAGTGTGGACATGCTTAATAGGAAGTGCCTTCTTTTCTCTAGTCACAAAATGTACAAAAAACAAGTTCAAAAAGTGAACTCACTGTTTCAGTGCCGTCACTGTATAAGTGCAAGACAGATGTTGGTTGGGTTTTGAGTGCAAATGTTATTCAAATTTCAACAATTCTTTATTAAGTTCATTCATATATTAATGTTTTATTCATGTAATTAACTATTAACTATCTGGAAATGATGATACACAGACAAAAAATGATTTTATGTACCCGTGTTTAGTGTAATTAGGTGCATAAAGATGCAGTGATATATAATTATGTAAACTGTCTTGTTCTCTAAACAGGAGAGCAGTAGACCTGAGCCAGTACAAGCTGAGGCTGAGGCAGAAGCATATTATGATCCTTTTCCAGGAAGTAAACCTCCGTAAGTAAAAATTATATGTGCTAGCAGTTCATTGTGGCATTACTTCTTCTTCCCCGCTTCTATGCTGGATGATCATTAATTTGGGGAATAATGTCAATTTTCATACAGTTAGCATTGTCTGAATGTTAACTGTGGACCTACAATCCCAGACAAAAGAGTTGGGACACAAAGCAAGTTCTCCCCTCCCCCCACTTTTAATGTTGATGATCAGGTGATTTTTTCCCTTTTTGTTGGAAAAAACACGATATTTTCCAATATTGGTTAGGGGGGAAGGGGGATACGTGATACAGCTCAAGTGTCCCAACTATTTTTGGCCAGGATTGTAGCTATTAGAACTGTTATAAACAGACTCTGAGAAATTAATTAGCGACAGGTTCAGTTCAGTGCAAAATGCTAAACTGGAAACCATACATCAACTTGTGGGGCAATTTGAATTTTTAAATGTAATCCCTTAATAATAAACCTTCGAGCATCTGAGTTTCCCTCAAAAAAAAGAACATCTGTTTTGACAGTATTAAATTATTGTACAATATTTATAGGCCTGGGGTGATGTCAAATGTTATCATGTTTTTTGCGTGGAAATAATTGGTTTTAATTGCTGCATGCGTAATATGTTTGTTGGTGAGGTCTGTTTGTGTTCCTCGTTAACTCTGTTAAAAAAAAAAATCATTTTTAAGCTATCACAATCCTTGTTGCATTTACATGTACCACTTTAGAAAAGAGAAGAAATCTGGGCCAAGTCTCATCTTGCAATGGCTTGTGGGACCATCACTGAATTATAGTGTTCACTGTAGGTTGAGTTCAAACTAAACTAGTTTGAAACAAATTGACCTACAACATATCCATTGTTTTTTAGCTGGTATTTTGGTAAGTTAACAAGGGAGAATGCTGAGAAGATCCTTCAAGAGCATCCTCCTGGGAGTTATTTGGTGCGTGACAGTGAAACAGTTAATAAGCCAGGTGCTTATACCATCTCCCTCAAGTAAGTTGCTTTTTGCACGCATCCCAGATATCGCACTTTAAGGAGAATTTCTCACAAATTATTTTGGTATTAGATTAGCTTAAATAGACATTCAGCGTGTTCTATTGGTAATCCACAAATTTCAGATCATTTCTTTCCCTTGTATTTGCTATTATTAAAATAGAAGATGATTGTGTGACATTGCTCTTGATAATGAAAAGTATTCTAGATTTTTGCCTTACAATATTTAAAATTATGAGTTTAAAAAGAATTGACTACATTACAGTACTTACTGTTAGGTCCATCAACTTTTCTATGAAATATCTTGGCCGCACCTCATCAACTATTCATTCATAGAAAACCCAAAGCTATAATTCATCAAATCTTTCCCTCAGGAGATTATGTGTTACATGCACAGTGTGTAAATTTTTCAGTCATGTACTCTGTGATAGTTGTTACATGTGCAATATGGTTGACAAACCACGTTGGTGACTCCGGGAAATTTCCATACCTCACCACAGTTGGTGTTAGATTTAAACTCCCCTCCTCCTTCAGGGTTCTCCCAAAAATTTGAACTATGGAAGTAGGCAGAAAAATGTTTACTACGTGGCACTGAGCATTCAGAACCTTGCAATCAAAAAAGAAGGAAAGAGGCACTAAATATGATTGTAGTTTCCATCAAATATGTTATGTGATAACAAAAGCGTAACCTCTACCAGATACTCTATATACTCTGTATATATGTAGTTACTAGTAATTGCCATGAACACTACTGATAATAATGTGGTTTATCTTCCAGACACAGAGAAAAATTCCGACACCACAAAGTTGAAACATTACATGATGGAAACCTCGTAATAAAGACACTTGAGGTGGTGTAATTAAAAATTTAAAGATGTACAGTGTAACTTCAGTGTGAACAGCCATGCATTATGTTCAGATGAGGTCAAATGTTTCATATGGCTTTTTTGTTCAATACATGACTTCAACACATAAATTTGTATTTATATGGTCTTTTGCAGGATAAGGCTTTCCCTAATCTTGCAGCTCTAATGAATTACTTTACCAAAAGTCAGGAAAGAGAAATACAGATGGCACCTGTGTATTGCGAGGACCAAGGTAGAATGACTGCATGAGACACTAACTTAAGTAACTTTACCTTAAAATTTGGTACATGCATGTATCATGCATGTATGTACAGTACTATTATATAAACAAAACATAACCACTCCGTTGATCATTTTCACGATCACGCAATAAAAAAATAAATTGAAAACCATCCGGTGGAAAGAGCTAAGAATTGGATGAGTTGCTAGTAAGCGGATACCCGTGTTATGTGCAAAGAACTCTGGGATCATCAGGGGGCAAACATTGAAAGTGGCTAGAAGAAAATGTATAGCGAAAAGGTGTTTCGATGTCCAAAAAAATGATTTTGAGGAGAGATCAATGCTTTTTCGCTGTTGTTTTATTGCAAAGGATTTGGGCAGTGTTGATTCATGGAAAGTGTAAGTTTTTGTTTGAATAACGGTGAAATATGTGATAAAATTTAGCGATAAACTCCCTTGCTTGTGTGAGGTTTATTGTGAAATTTGCATTGAAGAGAATAGTAAAAATGTCAAAACACGCTTTATCTGGGGAGGCTACCCAGAGCAAATGGTAGAAAATACCCTCTAAGAAGACAGAAAAGAAGCTCTAAAACAAAAATCGATAATGCACAAGAAACTCCTACCCTTTGTCATGCAACCGTCATTTACCAAAATTTGAAAAGCATAATCACAGACAAATAGCATTTTTAAATACAAATACTCAGACAGATATTCATGGAGCCACCATCGATCTGTTATAGAAAAGGAAAATCACTAAAAGACATGCTTGTAAAAGCAAAACGAAGGCCTTGAACAGCGCAATGGGCACACAGCATGAATTGCGGTGTCTGTCATCTCATTTTAATCAACCCCACACAGCACAATGATCACCACTGGGCTTATTTCCAATATTATTTGTATAACTGAGCTTCAAAATAGCCAAACGTAGCCTGTACACAACTTAAAAGGCTTTACTCAGTTATTTCCTCTCGATTTATACCTAATTAATATTGTAATATATTCAGACCATTACACGTTGTAAATTTCACAATAAACCTCACGCAAGCGAGGGAGTTTATCAGTCAGTAGATTTTATCACATATTTCACGGTTATTCAAACAAAACTTACATATTCCATGTATCAATATTGCCCAAATCCGTTTACGATAAAACAACAGTGGTGAAAAATCGTTGATCTCTCCCCAAAATCGTCTTTTTGTAACTTGAAACAACTTTTCCCTCTACATTTACTTCTAGCTACTTGCAATGTTTGTCCCCTGACGATCCTAGAGTTCTTTGCCCAAACACTGGTATCTGACTAATTACTGGCAACTCATTCATTGTGATGTTATAGAAGATAACTAAATAAGACACTTCTCCAATTTTTGGGCCTGTGCATATCCCCAAACTTCAGATATTCGTTGAAGTGTTTCGCAGAAATTCACAGAGCCCAGTATGAAAACGCCATGTTGGTGTACATCCATGGTACACCAATATGGCGGCCAGAAAATAATGTAAACATGTGGAACTTACTTTGGCTATCTAGGCTACTGATTATCAGTACTGAACAAACAAGCATTTACACAAGCACTTTTCCTAATGCTCTTACTTCTAAAAAGGCTCAAAATCATGAGATTGTAGCCTTGTGTCACACACCTCCATAGCCCTGAAATTCAAAGTGCTCTGGTTTCTAAGCAAAGCACGCTCTTGAACTGTGAAATTGTAAATAGATATAAATATACCCCCTCTTATGCCTGATGAGGATAAAAATGCTTGGTGGCTCTTTAGTTTTGGATTTTAGAAAGTGAAGACGTCACGTGAAAACGATCTATAGTATTTTTCATGTGCTTTGACTGGGTATTTGAGGTTACTGTATACCTTTAGGGGTGCCTCACATCCAAGCGATGTAGCACATCTGGTTTAAACTGTAGATACCTAAACCCCTATATCAAACTACATACATGTAAGCTTATATAACTTGCTATCAAACTATACCAAGTATTTTAAGATAAAATGAATTGTGAACTTTTCAATGAGTTCTAAATGTGTCACATCCAAATCACCGTTTGAAAGCTACAAGTCAAAGGTAATTTGTTCGTTTGCCCTCAGATTTGGCCAATAGCTAGTTTGAGATATGGATGATAAAAACTTGTCTGCAAATTTTCTATTTTGAGATGTTTTTTTTCTCTCTGAGAATGATTTTTGTATGGTCACTCCGTGTCTTTTTAATCCTTTTTCGTGAATATTCTGTAACTTTTCACTGAAATTCAGTATGGCAAAAAGCAGAGATAATTTTTTAGTGCTTTGGGTCTGGAAACTAGGGAACAAATTAAATTAGCTCTAAAGGTATACAGTAACCTTAAACTTTGGTTGAACTGCACTATCCACTGTTGCGTAAAGACAAAACAGCTCTCCGGTAGTCTACAGTCTCCAAAGAATAATTCATACAGTTTGTAAATAAGCAAGACATATATTATATCTCATAACACAAATAGGGCAACAATTCTGAGTGCAACCTTTCTCAAAAAATGGTTATATTTAGTGTCAAGCAATGGGCCATTTCTGAGTTACCATCTGCTGCTGTGCCAAAAGGAGTCTTTGTGTGAAACATTTGAGATGAAAGTGTGTTAACTGCAAGTTCATTTTTATGCAAATCAGTCTTTTTTTTGTGCAAGAAGTATTGCACAAGGACATAAGGCCCTAAGAAGTGGTCTGTTTCTGTAGAGTAATCTTGAGCACTTTATTGCTTAAAGTGAATTTTCGAATTGTAGAACTAACACAGACAGTAAAATCATAACTAGGATAATAATTATTATGTTATTAAAAACCTGGGTTAAGACCAGATTTGATGATAATAACTCGTATTTTTTGCATATGCAGTTGACAATGGTGTCAAAGCCGTTCAACCAGAAGGTTTTGAGCCAAATGATCGTAAGTAGATGTATTTATGATTTCATTGTAATATTGTTGTTCACATAACTTCCAGTGAGTCAACTACGGTTGAACCACTGCTAATGGAAAACTCCTGTAGGCAGACACCTCCCCTGGGCAGATGCATAGCTTTGAGTGATCATCTTAGCCACATACAAACACTAGTCATGTACTTCAAACTTTCCACTAGTGGAAACCCCCCTAAGTGGACACTTATTCTTGTCCCAAGGGTGCCTGCTTACAGGAGGTTCCTCTGTGTTTAATACTTTCCCAAACTGCAGGACAGAAGTGTCTAGTTGTCCAATGTTAATAAGAGTAATAACTTAGACATAACGTGACTATGGTTGCTCAATTTGACATTGATTCTGTTAAAATAAAATTTTGTTCAGTCACATTAAGTAGTTACAAAATATTTATGGTAATTTACAGTGCAGCCTTGGTGCTTAGCTTGCGAACAGGGATGTAGTTTTGGCTGTCAGTTGTCTCCGCGAAACTCCAACAAGTGACAGAAATGCATCTGCATTCCCATACTACCTGGTGTAAGGCTGGTGAATAATTCACTCAAGATTTTTTGTTGTCGCAATTGAACCCGTGCTTCTGCATTGTACTTAGCCATCAAACTGTGAAGAAAGCTAGGGCTGTTGGTGGTGAAATACTGGGGAGAGGGGGAAGGGAACATTGGAATTTTGGGAATTTTTGTGCCACAGAATATTCATATGTTCAAGTACACTTAGCTTGGCCCTTGCTGACTTTTGGTGAAGTAATTCATCAGAGTTGCAAGACAAGGGAATACCTTACCCTGCGAATCATGTAACTAACCTTGTGAAAAAGAAGTTTTAAATATATTAAGTTGTTTTTGCAATTTAAAAAATGCAGTTTAAAATGGCCCAGTTTTAAGTTTCCTTAAGCTTCTTATTTAGATGCTGCTTACAGTCAAAGTGTTATTATTGTTGTAGCACGTCCTCCTGTACCGGGATGTGAAGACAGACCAAGCAGACCTGAGAGCAGCAGTGGTCATGGTAAGTATTCTGCTTATATTACAATGAAGGGTGCAGTGCCATTACCTCTTGACAAAAATTTTGATTGATTTTTGACAACCTTGTTATTTGTACATGTACGTCTTTGATCACTTTCTATTGGGTCTCTTTAAAACTGGCAGATCAAATTTGCCAGAACTATGGGAGATAGAGATTTCAATTTTCAGAATGGGAATATATATTGAGATTGAAAACCCTTCCTCTGGTAGCTCTCTGGTGTTTTGACTGACCATTTGAAACAAAAGACATCAGAAAGTTGTGAAAAAAATGTTGAAGAGCGACTATGCAATCTTACATGTAATTTAATAAGAAGTTTTTGTTTCTGTTTCTGTGTGGGTAGTAAATTTTGTCCTTCAGTTACATTTAAATGTCTTCTTTACTTTTTCAGTATTCCCAGGAGCAAAACCCTCATATGAAAACCTTCCAGATAAACCAAGAGGTATCATACTTCTCTCTATATTTGCTTGGTAAATGCTGACCACTCTTGTAGGCCACCCAGATCATGTGTACTTAAAGGCATCCACAGTCGCGTGTCGATTGATACCCTTGATCGACCCTCAATCAACACTCCATCGACATCTCAATTAACACTCAATTAACATCTCCATGGATACTTGGTCAACTCTCAGTCAACATCTCAGTCGACAGTCGGCCGAGAGTCATCTAATTTTCACAGACACGCCTTCAAGTGTCGATTGATACACATGAGTCGGTCAACACTCTTCCAACAATGGACCAACTGTTGATCATGTGTTGACCGAGATGTCGATCGAGTATCAATTTAGTGTTGACTGAGGGGTAATCGAGGGTATCGAGCGACACTTGACTGTGGATAGCCTTTAGTATGCATGATTCGGCCACACAGTGCAGGCTCACCTTAGCAGACACCTTGATCTGTGCTATCATTAGAACTTTGTCATTCAAAGCCCCTGTAAGCAACTGTGACCATCAACAATAATATACTACATTGTATACTAGAGGTATTTTATTATCAAAAGAAGGCCTTGGCTAATGTTGCATGCACTTGAAGAGGATTTATGTTAAAAATATCGCAGTGAAAACAATGTTAGTCAAAGTTTAATTTAGTAAAAGCAGTAAGACTGGAATGTAGGAACCATTCTGACATAAACTGTGCAAAGGTTATTTTAAATGTTTTTTGTGATAGTGAACTCTCTGAACTAGCTATATTAAATGCCATCCGCCTTTCTTGATGGTTTGTTAAAAGCAGTTCTTGCTGCGTTTATGACTATTTCTTCACTGCATTTTGAAAGTTTCTTTGCCACAATTCTATAGTTAACGTCGCTTTTGCTACTCACTTGCTGTAGATTTGTAATTGTAATCAGCTAGGGAAAAGAAAAACGTGCACTAATTGCATGAATTGGGTTATTTTTGTTAATATTTTGTCCAACTTCCAATAACAGCTGTGAACTATAAAATCTTATCATGTTTTATTATTACATTTTTTCAGCTAAACCACCTCTGATAAGTCGTGTAACGTCGCCTAACCTCATGATCTACGGATCTAAGACTCGCGGTTATGAGAATTTACCAAACAAAGGTACCGGTATCGAAACTCTTTCTCTTACAAAATTAAAATAGCAATAACAATAACAATAACAGTAACAGTAACAGTAACAGTAACAGTAACAGTAACAGTAACAGTANGCAGTAGCAGTAGCAGTAGCAGTAGCAGTAGCAGTAGCAGTAGCAGTAGCAGTAGCAGTAGCAGTAACAGTAACAATAACAATAACAGTAATAATGAAGTTTTTTGGGCGCATTAAAAAAAAAAACTCAATGCGCTTACATTACTATTACTAAAAATCAAGTCCATGATAGTGTTAAGTGTCTTAGTCTGTGGATTGACACCATTCAAATGGAATCTGTTGAGCTGTTCTTTCATATGGCACAGTGTTTTGTTCAATATGTTACAAAATGAAACCTGGAATTTTTGTTTCGTTTTGTTTTAATTTATTTTTAGTCGGGCAGGTACAAATTTGGAAAGAAACCTCCGATTAGTAGCCGGAACACTGTCCCTTTAATTTATCACTATGAAGAAAACGTTTTCTGTAAGCCCTAGCCTGCGTAGCTTGGCGGCTTTTAAGCAATTTGAGCACGCTAGAAACGAGAGCCAAAGCCGCTTTGAACGTGGGAGAGGACTAACAAAAAATGTCGATAATCCGTGCAGGCGAAGTACAGGCGGTTTCTCAGTAGTCTCTCTCCCAGGCTCCTCGCGGCTTCGCTGCACGTTTATGTGGCCTCTCTTAAGGTGGCTCCATGGGGTAATCATTTATGACGTTGTGCGCGCAAAGCCAAGTGTCATGTTTTGAATGCTGTTTTTGCATTCGCTTTCACACGTAGTCCTCTCAAACTTATTACATGTAATAAACAATGATTAAATAGTGTTTTGCTATTATCTCTGTTAAAATTTTGGGATTTAGTCTTAAATAATAAATGCCCCCACCAAAAAAGTTTTTTTACTGTTTTTATGGCTTCATTTGTGATTTTCATGAATTTCCTTCGGTGAAATCTTCCAAATTTTTTATATCACTTCGCCTCCAGCGGGATACGAATTTTAAACACGAAAAAAGTAGGGTTTGTAAAGGCAGTTTCTTCGATATTTTCAAATTTATGTCTTTTACCGCTGCCAAAAATCTTGTCTTATAGATTTCCCTGAAAAACGAGCTCCGACTAAAGTAGAATATTTTCTACTAATCTGCCAAATTTTACGGAATTTCACCGAAGGAAACGCGAGAAAATTCACTGTCAGTTTTGCTTTTTGT